AAGGCACTTGACGGCTAACCAGAAGGCCGGTGGTTCAAACCCACCAGCCACTCCTCGGAAGGAAGATTGGGCAATCTACTTCCGTGGAGATACAGCCTCAGAACCTCAAGGAGGGGTCGCTAAGAGTTGGAATCAACTCAACAGCAGTGAGGTGTTTTTATTTATTTTTTTATCTCTAGAGTGATGATTGGATATAAACTGTAGGGTGTATGCAATATAAGCCACTCTTGAAGGCTGGGCAATCTACTTCCGTAGTAATACCAACTCAGAAACCCGAGGAGGGGTCACTATGGGTCACATCCTACTCGAAGGCAGTGACTTTGGTTTTGGTTTTGGTTTTGCCTGAACCAGGAGTTAGAATACCAGAAAGCAGCTCTGATTTCAAATGTGTCACAACTTGGATTTAGGGAGTAAAGAAACAAAGGGAGACCAGCCTGTTTTCTCTGCTTCCCAAACCAAAAAAGGAAGGACAAGATAAGGTCATTGAGAAAACCCTGCAAATAAGTTTAAGGTACTCTATCTGTGTAGGTATCCTGGGTAGGCCTTACCCCATACACAAACCACCCTCAACTCACCTTATTTACATATGAACTATTCTTTGTCCTAGTTGGCAACTGAGGAAGGAGGACAAACCATAATTAAGATTGCCTTCCTACTTTCCCTCTCCTGTTCCCAGGGAAAAAAACTCTGACGGAGAGTCCTCTCCTCTAAGTCAACGGATTGTTGTTGTTGTTGTTGTTGTTATTTGCCATCGAGTCAGACCTGACTCATAGCAACCCCTCCTTGGGTTTCTGAGGCAGTATCACTACAGAAGTAGATTACCCAACCTTCCTTCCAAGGAGTGGCTGCCAATTCTAAGGAGGGAGAGTACACAGAGAAGTAAATTTTATAGAGAATCTACTATATGCCTGAAGGAGCCCTGGTGGTGCTGTGGGTAAGTGCCCAACAAAAGGTCAATGGTTTGAGCCCCCCAGCTGCTTCATGGAAGAAAGATGTGGCAGTCTGCTTCTGTAAAGATTTACAGCCTTGGAAACCCTATGGGGCGGATCTACTCTGTCCTATAAAGTTGCTATGAGTCAGAATTGACTTGACAGCAAGTTTTTTTTTAAGTATGTATGCCAAGAATTTGTTGTTATGTGCTATCATTTCATCTCCAACTCATAGCGACCCCATGTACAACAGAATGAAACACTGCCCAGTCCTGTGCCAGCCTCACGATCACTACTGTACCTGAGCCCATTGCTGCAGCCACTGTGTCAATCCATCTCGTTGAGTGACTTCCCCTCTTTCATTGACCCTCCCCTTTACCAAGCATGACATCCTTCTCCAGAGAATGGTCCTTTCTGACAACATGAGCAAGGTAGGTGAGACGAAGTCTGGCCATTCTCACTTCCAAGGAGCATTCCAGGTGCACTTCTTCCAGGATAGATTTGTTAGTTCTTTTAGCAGTCCACGGTACTTTCAGCATTCTTTGCCACCACCACAACTCAAAAACATCAATTATTCTTTGGTCTTCCTTATTCATTCTCT